AATTTGATTTTTATTTTTTTAATTACTATTTATTTTGTTTAAAATCATTTAATTTTTTTTTCAAATTTCATACTCAAATTTTGTTTCTGTCAAGCTTTTTCTTTATTTTTTTTGTTATTTTTATTTTTTAGATTTTTTTATTAATATTTTTAACGATTTCATCATTCAAAATTAAATTAATTAAGAATTAAGTTTTTTAATTGAAACCAGGTCCAAAATTTAATGAATTACAAGTTTTAAAGATTAGATTATATTTAAAAAGTTTGCTTGAGTTTCCTTTTGTCTTCATTTTCTTTTAAAATTATTTTATTTTATTTAGTTTTATTTTGGTAATTTTCTCATTTTGGCTTTTATTAAAATAATATTAAGTTGTTTGATATTCTTGTTTTATTTATTTATTAAAACAAACATTGCATGCATTATTCATCCTTCTTATTTTATTCATGTCAAATTTGGTCACCAAAGTTATAACAACAAAATATTAACAAAAAAACTAAATCTGCTAAGAAAGTTATCAGGTAACAAGAAACAAATATTTATTATAACAGTATAATTATAAGTTTGCTCTTTAAAAAAGAGAGGCAATGCACTGAATTTTTGGGGTAAAATTGTTTTTTTTATCAAGATATAATTATTTTGACATATTGTATGGGATTATATTTGTTATTTTTCTTTAACATGCATAATAAAATTACTATTTTAATTATGGAATAAAAAAATATGATTTTTTTTATCTTGTAGATATTTTTGTCCTTTTATCTTCTTCAAATGAATAATGTAATTACTTTGATGTTATTTTAAATGAAAATAATATAACTCTCTTATAAGAGTTTTTCAATTATTTGAAATTGGTTATATTATAGATTTTAAAGTTACTCAAGAATATTATTATAATTAACATATTATATATTATTTAAAAAAATATAAATAACCCTTATGCTTTTTCAAGCAATGCATACAAAATCATTCGGTCACCAAATATAATTCTTTTGGATAGTGTTTGAAATATCTCAACACTTTTTACAAGGTGGTGTAACACATATATTAAAAGAGTCATTGATTTAGCATAAAAAAAATGTTTGTTTTTTTCCTTCATCTTCTTTCTCTCCATCTTAAAATTTTCACCAAGCAAACCCTTTAATTTTTTTATTTATATCTACTTCGTATCTTTTTAATTTTAATTTTTTTATTTTAGAATAACTTATAAAATTATATTTTTTTTAATTTTACCCCATAATTTTTTAATTTAAAAATAATCTATAATATTAATTTTTTTTATAATTTTATTCTTTAAAATTAAATTTGTCAAGATTTAAGTTTTTTAATTAAACCTAAATTTAGGATTTCACAAGTTACAGGTTTCAGAGATTAAACAAAGATTAAGAGGTTCGCTCTGATTTATTTAATTTTTTTTATTAGCTGGGGTTTTTTATTTTTCCATCTTTTTTCTTGGTTTTTTTTTTTTGCAATTTAATTCTACTGGGTTAGCCCTCCCTTGTAATTTTTTTCTTTCAATTTTATCCCATGTCATTTTTTAATTTAAAAATAATCTATGAAATTACAATTTATTTTTTAATTTCACTTCTATGATTTTTTGAGTTTACAAATTTGATTTTTATTTTTTTATTTTTTATTTATTTTGTTTAAAATTATTTTTATTTTTTTTTCAAATTTCATACTCAAATTTTGTTTCTATCAAGCCTTTTTGTTATTTTTTATTTTTTCAGGTTTTTTATTAATATTTTTAATGATTTTATAATTCAAAATTAAATTGATTAAGAGTTAAGTTTTTTAAGGTTTAAAATTTAATGAATTACAAGTTTTAGATATTATACTATATTTAAAATTTTTGCCTAAGTTCCTTTGTTTTCTTTTCTTTTAAAATTATTTTATTTTATTTAGTTTAGTTTTGTTAGTTTTTTAAGTTTGACTTTTATTAAATTAATATTAAATTGTTTGATATTTCAATCTTTAAAATAATTAGTAAATTATTAGTATCGGACTACCAGTCTACTCCACCACTAATTTTAAATATTTTTATTAAAATATTTACATAAATTTGTAATTTTCAAGGCCAAAAAGGTTTGTTGCATGTTTCCTGTCTCATTCATGAAAATAAAATAATGACTGGGAAACTGATTATTTTTTTAAATTTTAACCGAATAAAGTTTAATATATTTAATAATATCTTGCTTTTAATCTTATAATAATATTAAAATTTTTTAGTTTATGCATGGGAAATCTAAAATGAATTTGTATGTTTTAAAATATTAAAAATAAATAAAAAAATATAATTTAATTATTTTTCTCATTCTAAAGTTCTCAGCTAGAATATTCTAATCAATTTAATGGATTAAAAATATATTATTTATATAAAATTTTAATAAAAATATTTAATATTTCAATGAGGATTTTACAAGATCAACCTGATAATAATTATTTTGCATTTCTAATTAATATTTCCAAGATTTTATTGTAAAATATTAAAATATAAAATAAAATATGAAATAAATTGCTTTCATGTTATAACTAAATCAAGTTTCATATTTGAAGAACATCTAATCCAATTAAAGTAAATAATTGCTTTCATGATTAATTTTAATTTTTTTTAAAAAATCAAAACAATATTGTTTTAAAAATATAATAATTTTTTTGATTAAATTTTAACTGATTTCTCTAAATAAATCAAGATTTTTAAGTCATTTTTTATTTTAAAAAAGATTTAAAAATATGGTAGTGGTTGTTTTTTAAACTCCTTTTCATTTTAAAGCATGTTTTTTAAAAAAATTATTTTTGATATTAATATATTAAAATATTAAAAATATATTAATAAAAAATAAAAAATAAAAAATAAAAATTTTAAATTTTTTTAAGTGCACACACCGGAACCAATCTAGACCTTAAAGCAATTCATTTATTAATTGTAACACCTTATTTAATGCAAATTTTCCTTCCTTGTTTTGTTGTTTACTTCGGCAATTTGGATTTGCCCTCGTCCTTTGTCCAGTTGCGCTAAAAGAACGACTCTAAAAGGGGCATATTGTTTTTGAACCTCCTCTACCTGTAAGAAAATGACAGGTAGGTATTCCATCTATTTTTTATTTTTTATTTTGACTAGGGCTTTAATTTATTAATAGATTTCACAGGAATATCACAACGAGGTCGCCAATCTATTTATTTTATTTTATATTTTGATTAGACTCTCAATATATTAATAGACTCCCTATCAAATCTTTTTCATTGGTTTAGCTAACTTAATTATTAAGAAAACACGGTGTAAATTAAGTTTATTAAAAAATATATTATTTTAATGTATTTTAATATAATTTTTTAAAAAAAAACAACCACAATTATAATTCTAAATAAAACTACAATATAAATAATATCTTTTTTCTTAAAAAAAAAAACTCTTGGATTTACCAAAATCTTCCATCACGTGAGCTAATAGATTGTATAAGAAAATCTAAAGGCTTAACAATTTTTTTAGTATGATATATCAATTTATTTACCACAATTCAATGATTTATCTACTAAATTTCTTTTAATATATTTGAATACAAGCTGTCAAGATAAATTTATACACACACATATATGTGTATACCCGTGTTGTTGTAGGCTTTGTATGTATTTGATAAGGTAATGTAAGATGATAATACAAAAGTATTTTCTAACTACAAATATATTAAAATGATTTTTTTAGATTTATTTTTAAATTTTCTACCTCAACATATCAAATTAATAAAAAAATATAAAAAATATTAATTTAATGTATTTATAAACAAAAAATAATTTAAAAAATATTTTGATAAAAAATCAAATAATAAAATTAAACACACTCTTAAGAAGCAGATGATTTATTCAACTTACCCATGACTCCATAATTCACAACTATTTTCAGCTATTATAGCAATAAGTGTGACCACATAACATTATTACTTAAAGTTATATTTTTAATTTTTTTATACAAATTCATATTATAATCACACTCATACAAGTTTATATATAAAAAAATATTCTTATTTTTTGAAAAATATATTTTATTTATTTTCAATGTATTAAAATTAATATTTTTACTCTACTCATAACCTTTCATGTTATCTCCTTAATTCAATTTCCTTTACATTTAAAATAAAAAATATATTTTTTAAAATTTATCTATAAATATATCTGAAATGCCATAACAAACAAAGTAATTAAAAATAATATATATATATATATATATATTAAAATTAATATTTTTACTCCACCCACAACCTTTCATGTTATTTCCTTAATTCAATTTCCTTTACATTTAAAATAAAAAATATATTTTTTAAAATTTATCTATAAATATATCTGAAATGCTATAACAAACAAAGCAAAGTAATTAAAAATAACATTATATATATATATTAAAATTAATATTTTTACTATACTCATAACCTTTCATGTTATTTCGTTAATTCAATTTCCTTTACATTTAAAATAAGAAATATATTTTTTTAAATTTTTCTATAAACATATTTGAAATGTTATAGCAAACAAAGTAATATATATATATTAAAAAAAACCGCAGGGGCATAAAAGCAAAATAATATTTAATACCATTAATAATCTATCCTGTTTCCTACAAGATGCGGAATATCTAGTCTAGTCCTGGCCGTAATTTTGCAGACAAAATCTAACTGAAAAAAATGCTGTAATAAAGTAAATAAATAAATGACTAAATACAACTCACCACCGACCGGACCCACACTTAATACCTTTCTTCTATTTTCTTCTCCGCTTCCTCCTTCCTCATTCTTCCCTCTCGTGACCCTCTTGTAGACTTCACAAAAATTCTTCCTTTTCTTCTCTACACAGATAAACATACTCCTTTTGCCTTCAAATATTGTGGGAGTTTAGTTTAGTTAATTATCTTGCTTATAAAGTCTCGAACTTGGTGAATTAAACAACAGCAAGAACCATATCATTGTTCCCTTTTGGTTTCTATAACAGTAAGTCATGCTCTTTACTTTCTTTATTTAATTCTTTGTGTTTCTTTCTTTCTTTTTTGGTTGTGTTTTGACTGGTTCACGAGCTTAAAAAATGGCAACTTGTTTCTGAAATCTTGATTTTTAATGGAAATTGTCTTTTGAAGATATTATTTAGTTGCCATTTTGGGTTTTGAGTTCTGATTTGGAGATTTTATCCGATTTATGGATGAATTTTTGACTTTTTAACTCCTGCGGGGCTCTTTTTGTTTTTTAATATGCCATTCAAACTTGCTGTGCTTTCTTTAGACTTTGTTGATCAGTTTTCCTGCTAGTGTTGGCGGATTTCAAGATTTCGGATAATTTATTCTCTGTCTTTTTGTTTAGTTTTGCCTGGTGGTGATCTTGATTTCTTGAGAGAACTGTGCTTTAGTGTGTGCATGTATGATGTTTGAATCTTTATCTCCTCATTTCAATTTTGTACTCATTTCTGATTAAGTTTCTGTTTTTGAAGTTACAGTATAATCATCCGTATTTTGTTAACGAAGTGCGCTTCAGTTTCCGTGGAACTTCATTTGAATCTTGGTCTTATCATATTATTGGTGCAGAACTTCGGATTGAAAAACAAAAAAATATTTTCGAATGTTTCGTCTACAATCTCTAGCAATTGTAGAGAAAACACCTTGCAGTAAGAACTTGACTTGGGACTGTTTGATTTCAAGTATATTTCTGCCTTTTTTTTTTTGATATAGAATTTGGGTTCATCCTAAGAATGTGTCCCACCCCCCCCAATTTCCCCCCTCTGAGGACCCTGCTGACGACCTCGAGTATTTACACCCTGTTGTATGAGACCTTTTGGTTCATGTTATATCAGAAGTTTTTTCCACAACTTTGAAATTATTTTTGAGGTTTTATGAATCCTTGTATTGTATTTTAGGTAGAAACGATCTAATATTGTTGGTTTTTGGTTAAAGAAGAGGAAACATCGTTTGTTTTTTTCTTTATGTTTTTTTTTTAATTTAATTCATTTTTTTGGTTGAACTATTGCTTTAATATACTAAAAGTGTCTCATATAATACCAAAAATGTCTTGTATATCAGGAAATTTGTTACTTATTATGAATGAGTTCATTTTTTTTATTGAACCAAACAGGTGATCGAGGTTGTACATCATTTGAAATAGACTAAGCCGCTTTACTGTTTTTGAATTGTGTAGCATGTGTCATTATTGTGGTGCTGATCAGGCAAAGTTGAAGGATGAAAAGCAGAAACTAGAGAATGGAGATTCTTTAAAACTAAATGGTGAAGAGCCCATTTGGTCTTGCCAATTTTGTCAGGAAAAGCAGGAACCGAAGAACCATGATGGTTTGAGTCATTCTATGTCACCAATGACCAGTCCAACAACTTCGTTGTCTATCAGTGATAGATCTATCTCAAGCTGCAGTAAATTTCTGCCTCTCCTTGTTACTCATCTTATTTATTTATGTGATATACTGACATCTTGTTGTATAATTCTAATGTTTTTTTCCTGGTTATTTGTTTGCTTAGGTGATCTTTCTGTGGATGTAAACTTGCATGACCGGTATGTATAACACCTTTGAAATGTAGTGCAGTTAGATATTCTCTTTGATTGTTTGTTAATGATGATTTGTCTTCCGGCATTTGTCAGGGCTCATCAAGAGGAAGGAACAGTACACAGTGCCCAGAAGGATCTAGGTTATGCAGTGAATGACCAACAACACAACACAACATTGGAAGCTCCTGTAAATAGAGTGGATGGATTACATAAAGTGATGGAGAAGGATAGCCATAATGGCAGTGATAGAGACACAGTGAGAGATGTAGAAATTGTGGAACTTGTTCACAATCAAGAATCAAAAGGCAACTCTTCTGTGAACAGAGTTGGATCTTCAAATGAAGGAAATAATATTTCTCAAATCAGTGATGACAAAGTAGATGCATGGGTTTGGGAGCCTCCGGAAGCAGAAGATCCAGAGGATGATTTGGACGGTGGAGTGGCTTTTATTGATGACGATGAGGAGTGTGGCGATGGCACAAAATGGGGTAAACCAAGTTCTTTGAGTTGCTGGAGGGGTGAAGGCAGTCGGAGCTTCAAATTCAAAGAAGAAAAACGAAAGGCAATGGAAGAAGTGGTTAATGGGAAATTCAAGGCCATCGTGAGTCAACTTCTTAAAGCAGTGGGTGTTGCCTGTGTGGTGAGAGATGGTGAAAGTTGGGTGGATATTGTTACATCTTTATCATGGGAAGCTGCTTCATTTTTGAAGCCTGAAGCAGTGGATGGGAAAGCAATGGATCTAGATGGCTATGTGAAAGTAAAATGCATTGCAACTGGTTCTCGTAGTGAAAGGTGATTGCATTATTCTTCAGCCTTAACACCACCCCCCCCCAAAAAAAAAAAAAACAAAGAAGGAAAAAGAGAAAAGAAAAGAAAACACAATAATAAAAAATAAAAAGAAAAAAAAACATGATTGACCGAGGAAATAAAAATGCTCTATCATGAAAGGATGTGTGGTGTGTTGTATAGCATTTTAGCTTAAGATTATTTTCTTGTCTAGCTAAAAAAACAAGAGAATTTGGTAACATTCCTTTGAAGGAAAAAAGGAAAAGAAAAGAATAAAAGACCGATTTTTAAAACAACCCTAAGGTACACTTTCCAATTCTTCATTTTATTTTTATTTTTTGTTGTATCTTGCAGTCAAGTTGTGGAAGGCTTGGTCTTTAAAAAAAATGCTGCTCACAAGCACATGCCCACTAAGTACAAGAACCCAAGGTTGTTACTGATCCGAGGTGTGCTTGGTCACTCTTCAAGTGTCTTGTCATCATTTAAATCAATGGAGCAGGTATTTGATCCGGATCTCTCAAGTCTTGTTATCGCATATCTATGCTGTTATTTGTTTTGATCATTTTCTCACAAACAGGAAAGGGATAATCTGAAATCTCTCGTTGAGACCATAGAAATGTGCCATCCAAATGTAGTTTTAGTAGAAAAATCTGTTTCTCGTGATGTCCAAGAATCCATCCTAGCTAAAGGAATGACATTGGTCTACGACATGAAGCTCCATCGTCTAAAAAGGGTTGCACGCTGTACTGGTTCACCGATTTTATCATCTGATGCTTTGATTAGTCAGAAGTTAAAGCATTGCGACTCCTTTCATATCGAGAAATTTGTGGAGGAACATGCAGGGGTAGGCGAAGGAGGAAAGAAGCCAAGTAAGACATTGATGTTCATTGAGGGCTGTCCGACACATTTGGGTTGTACAGTGAGTCTATAAACCCTTGATTCTTTTTTCTCTCCTAGTTCTCTGTTGTGAAGTGTGCACTCATCCATCGCTTTTTTAGTACCAGAGGTCTATGCACAAATGAACACTTGGTTGCTCCCCACCTGACACAAGAACATGTATGTGCTCTTGTAGACCAGGCTGGTCAATTGAAATCCTGTACCCGACCTTTCTGACATGGTCATGTAACCATGTCGATGTTGGCTTAGCAGTTACAAGTCATCTTGCAAGCATAAAATAAAGGTTCTCTTTACATATGTTTTGTTTTATGCAGCTAATCAAATGCTTCACTGTTTTCTATCCTGGACAACAAATGTGTCATACTTCTCTTCTGCATTATAAGAGGCTGCAAAAAATTTGATCATACCACTCAATTTGTCTCTCAATTTCTTATGGGAACATTTGGTCTTCCTTCTTTCAATGTAACGCTCTTCCTTAATTATATGTACAATGTGGTTGTGCAGATTTTGTTGAAAGGAAGTCACAGTGATGAGTTGAAGAGGGTTAAATATGTGACCCAGCTTGCAGTAGTAATTGCATATCACTTGATTCTGGAGACTTCGTTTCTTGTTGATTGGAAGGCAATGTTCTCTTCAGCAGTATTTGCTGGAGCAGCCAGCAACTCATCAAGAGATCTGCAGTCTTCTGTTTTAGGAACTAGTATTCCTAGTGTTGAGGAGTCTACAACTGAAACTGGTTCATCTACCATTGATATTCCCATTTGTAATGGATTTCATGAAGAAGGTTTCCACAATATAAATATAGGATTAGAGGGATATAATCCTGCCATCTTTTCTGGATTTTCCTCCCTTTCAGCCTCTCTGAAGAAAGTTGCTGGGGACAGCATGCCTCTTGTCTCCTCTTCTCCTTATCAGTCTTTATCTAATTACTTTGGCTTCAATGGAAAAGAAATTAATGGTCAAATCTCGGAAGAGGTTCCAGTTTTAAAAACTGTGGAAGCTTCGGACCTCTATGATATGGAAGATAAAAAAGGTTCTGACAAAGAGAAGACAGTTCATGATGGACATCCTCAATCTTTGTTTTCTTACTCCGAAGCCTCTCTGGACAGAGTAAAAGATGTCAACTATAATGAAGATCAAATCCAAAGTCAGGGTGATGTCAATGCAGTGTTGGATTCTCAGAGTATTTTGGTTTTGATGTCTAGACGGAATGCCTTAAGAGGGACTGTATGTGAGCAAAGCCATTTTTCTCATATAATGTTCTACAAGAATTTTGATGTTCCCCTCGGAAAGTTTCTTCGGGATAATTTACTCAATCAGGTTATTTCAAATCTCATTTATAAGAATTATGATGTAGTTCTAGATTGGCCATACTGTATGGGAATTAAATATTTCTTATTAAAGGACTTTATGATCTTTTTAGAAATAGGTTTATGCTTTTGCTTCACTAAGTATCCACCATGTCCACAACATGGGAGAACTCCTTAACTGTTTTATAGATTTACGTTGCAGTGAGTTGAAGTTTGCGCTGATAGAAACCGCTTCATTGCAGAGTAGCCAGTGCAACACTTGCGGTGAATTGCCGGAAGCTCACTTTTACTATTATGCTCATCATAATGAGCAGCTTACCATACAAGTTAAAAGGCTTCTGAAGATATTGCCTGGAGAAGCAGAAGGAAAACTTTGGATGTGGATTCGCTGTGGTAAATGTAAACATGAAAGCAAATTTCCAAAATCTACTAAACGAGTCTTGATTTCAACTGCTGCATGTAGCCTTTCCTTCGGAAAATTCTTGGAGCTGAGCTTTTCCCACCAATTTTCATCTGGAATTTTATTTAGCTGTGGCCATTCTCTGGAGAGAGACTTTCTCTTCTTCTTTGGGTATGAAATATTAAATCATGTCCTCTTTATTTTGATGAATTTGCTATATTGAGTAGATTGTGAAAATAATGTCTTTATGCTCATGAACTAGTGATAAAATGTGTCCAAAGAGGAATTCCCTGCCATGGGATGTCATAGGAGCACACATTTTTTACACTAGGTACCAATTTAAATTTCTTTTCCCCTGTTAGAGGATGGATGCTCTAGGTTCTTTCTGGAATATTTTGGCCAAATTTTTGCCGCATGGTGCTATATTCAGGAACTGTGATGTAGATACGTTCATTAACTGGTGTCTGCACTTTGTGAATCTGAAATTTTGCTCTTTACCTTCTGTGCTTTGTCATTCATGGTATTTATACATTTTGCAGGCTGGGTCCTTTGGCAGCAATGTTTAAATACTCTCCAGTGACAACCTATACTTTGTCTCTCCCGCCTCAGAAGCTGGAGTTCCATCCTACAATCAGGCCTGATGGCCCTGAGCAAGAATTTCATGATGTATGTGTCTCTTTGATTCTAGCTCCTTCATCTTTGATGAGGCTCCAGTGTTTCTTTAAGAATGTTGGAATAAATGTTTGTTTCTCACACCTTCTTTTATGATATCTTGAATCTCCGTGAACTGGAATTGATTTTCCTTTTGTTTTTTCAAGGTTTATTTAAGAGGGATGTTACTCTTCAATGGGGTTGGTGAGACTTTGAAGAATTTAAGATCTCGATTTGCTGGGTCAGTTCTGAACCTTCATGGTTCATTGAAAGAATTCTCTGATATTGAAGATATGTTGAAGCAGGAGAGTTCTGAGTTCGAGGTTTGTTTCTTATATATATATATATATATATATTTGTCATTTAACTCTTTTAGGTTCTTGCATGTGTGACTGTTTATACAATGGCAAATATACGAGTCTTTATTGCACTGACTGATGAATGGCATTTTTCAGAATTTTAAGTTATACCTACATGTGTATTTCATCAAGTGTTTTTCGTTTAAACACAAGATCAAAAGTTCTTTGTTTCTGTTCATGGTTGCTAAGTTTTTACTTTTTTCTTTGGCTGCACTGTTGGAAACAAATCTGTTAAACATTCAGAAAGCTGTTGTTAAAAATAGGGATGAGGCTGCTTATAAGCTTCTTAGCTTGAATCAATTATTGTGGGAGCTTCTTCTTGAATCATGCATCTGGGAAAGACGTCTGCAGTCATTGCTCTCACCTGATCCTTCAGTGCTAGTGACTGGTGCTGGTGAGGAAGAAGTGCAGGACCTGTTTGAGTTACAGATGACTGGCACTGCTGATGGAAGAAACCATGCGAATGATACTAGCAGTGATAAAGTTTATGAAAACAGTGGCAATTTGAGGGATACTCTCAGTACAACTGTTAGAGCAAGTGAATTTTCAATCAAAGAAATTCCAGTTGATGGTCACGTTCATGAATCTAGGGAACATGATAGTCTTTACTCCTCACCTACCGAAGCTGAGGATATTGAGAGGTCAAGAGTGACTCGTCTGAGCCAGAACAGGTTTTTCAACCAAGAACTATTTGTGAAACCTAGTGACTCTGCCCACCAGCATTCTGATGATGGAAATTGCCAAGCAGACTATTTTTCTGATATACAAGTTGAAAGAACCATTCCAATTGCGACAAGTATAGGTATGAGTGATTCTTTGGTTGATTCTGATTCATCTAAAAAGGGTACGTCTGCATGTTCTCTAGCATTCAGCTTAGAGAACTCAAATGGATGGTTCTGGATGCCATTTTCAGAAATCCGACGGATCTACATGAAGAATCTTCAGAGAGGTTTCATGCCAAAATTTCAGCCGATCAGTAGCTATATTCAGGAACACGTATCTGCAGCTTATCAGCTAATCATGGAGGAAGGACAGAGGCTGCACATCCCTGTTGGAACTGATAATTATATGGTGAGAGACTATGATGGTGAACTCTCTAGCATAATTGCTTGTGCACTGGCATTTTTAGAAGATCAACCTGTTTCAACAGAGCTTTACAATGAGGATGGTAGGAAAGAGGGTGGCATGTCTTTTAAATCAACTGATAGTTTAGATATACTGACTCGAATTCCTACAATGATCTCCCCACATTGGTCTTCTAATGGTTCTGATTCAGATCCTGTGCATTCTAAACTAAATATTTCTTTGGAAGAGTCACGCTTGTCCAGCTTTGATGGGTTAAATTTATTGGAATCTGTGGTTCCTCCAGCAAATCTCAGCCTTGAAGTCCCTCTTGCGGTATCAAAATCATTTGGAAAGGGTAAATACTCTGTAATTTGTCTATACGCTAAGCAGTTCCGTGATCTTCGTAATCGATGTTGTCCATCTGAACTTGATTATATAGCTTCCATCAGTCGTTGTAAGAATTGGGATGCAAAAGGTGGAAAGAGCAGATCCTTCTTTGCAAAGACACTGGATGACAGATTTATCATAAAGGAAATTAAGAAGACAGAATTTGAGTCATTTGTGAAGTTTGCTCCACATTATTTCAAATACATGATCGAGTCATTTGAGTTAGGAAACCAAACTTGTCTTGCAAAAGTTCTGGGGATTTATCAGGTTCGGTTTCTGGATTTCATTACTTTTATCCATTTTGTTTTGATCTTCAAAAACTTAATTGTTTCCGTACAATTTTGCAGGTGATCACTAGACAGACCAAAAGTGGGAAAGAGATAAAGCATGATCTGATGGTCATGGAGAATCTTACCTTCGGTCGAAAAATGACTCGCCAGTATGATCTTAAGGGAGCTTTACATGCTAGATACAATTCAGCTGCTGATGGTGCAGGAGATGTTCTTTTGGATAAAAACTTTGTTGATGACATGAATTCCTCTCCACTATACGTCAGTAATGCATCGAAGTATCTCTTGGAACGTGCTGTTTGGAATGACACCACCTTTCTTAATGTGAGTTTAACTTCAATTGTTTCTACCAAGTAAGAAGATAGCCATAACCAGATATCTTCAATCTGATATAATTTCTGGATATATGATTTAAATTTGCTAAATAATATAATGTTGATGTACAAGCCAGAAGCGGCAGTGCTGGTCTCTCCTGTCCTCTTTGTTTTGCCCGTCATGTGCAGCCTTGCTCTTCCCTATGTTTTTGATCAATATTACTTTTTATTCTTTTTTCCACAATTCATAATTACTTCTTGTGCTGATAATTACAATCCTTCACGTTATTTTCAATGCCCATTTTTCAAAATGCTCTACAGGGCATGTTGTCTGACACAGTTCTTGTTAATCTTTGCAGTCAATTAATGTAATGGATTATTCTTTACTTGTGGGAGTAGACACCCAGCAACGAGAACTTGTGTGTGGGATTATTGATTATCTCAGGCAGTATACCTGGGACAAGCAGCTGGAAACATGGGTGAAGTCTTCCCTTGTTGTTCCTAAAAATGTGTTGCCAACTGTAATATCTCCTATAGAGTACAAGAAGAGGTTCAGAAAGTTCATGACTGCGCACTTCTTGAGTGTTCCCGATAACTGGTGCTCACAGAGTTCCTCTAACCCTAGTGAACTTTGTGCCGCTGGAGATGATGGTTCATCAGAATCCAAGTCCCAAAAACAAGGGCACAATGGGCATACTCATTAGTTTCATCTCCTGGTTCATGATTCTTTCTCTTTTGTTTAGTGCTGCATTTGTTTTTAAGCCAGTCCATATTACTGTATAAAGATAGATGTCACAGCTGTATAGTCAACCCTATGATGTTAGCCCTTGTTAACATATTTATGGGGATAGTTTTGTTTCTATAGGTCTGCCAATGTTGCGCTATAGTTTTGAACAAAATTGTAGAGAGCCTTGAACTGGTTATATCGCAAATCAATCAAGAAACAAACAAACAAACAAAACAAAATAAATAAATAAAAAATAAAATAAAAATTGCAACTATTTTACGTCTGCTGATGTTCATGTCCGGTCCATTTTGATTACGCTAAAAGAACTAGGGTTTTTGGAAAGTGAAACACCAGGGGAAAAACCCGAGTTCTTTTAGCATGCATGTTAATGTTAATAGCCTTCTTAAACCCTTAGTTGGTCTGAATGCTAATCTTACTTTGTTCTGGATTGTCTAAACATCACAAAAGAACTATGGAGCAGGAGCATATCGAAGATGCCATCCTAAGACGAGAAGCAGATCCCTTGAATCACTTTTTTTTTATGCAAGCCTGTTTTCGATTGATGTTTTCCTGTTGGTGTTTTATTTCTGTTGTTTCCCTCCAAAAAGAAGGATTGTTGTTTCCAACACATATTGAAGCCATTCAGGAAATTAGCGGTGACACAGACATACCTCTAGGACAAGGAAACAGAATTACTATCAGATCTGGAAGTTATGAATGGAGTAGGATTTGTTCACCTTTACCATCTACTAGCTAAGATTGCTTGGCAAGACAGTCAGCAACTTTGTGACCTTCCCCGTGGGGTTTGCTAATGGAGTAACTCCACAGAGAGAGGTTACTAGCTTTTGAATTTGGGAGATTATAAGAGGAATCTTCCTCTTCAACTCAGCAGCTGACCGGAGCCATTGCTCCTACCCTTGAACCCACTTTTCAAGGATGTCGAGAGGGAAAGCGCAGCCATTTCTCGAAACAAAAGCGAATGCCTAATCTTGTAACTAGGAAGAAACCTTCCACAGAAGTAAAGATCCTAATAAGGTAAAAAGGGAGAGAATTGCTTGCCTTCCCTCCTGCCCTATCAATTCAACAAAGAATCACCTCTTACTTCCTACGTTAACTTCCTTTATCCATCATGTCTCTATATTGCCTTCTTGCGTTAGAACTTGCTCATCAAAGATGGAAAAGTCAATCTGGCAAGACATCGCAGAGGACTCTGAGCTTAGCGATGATTACAGCTATCTGAAAGATGATGAACCTGATGAATCTCGTTACCTCCATCTAATCAATGCAGTCCTCAGCGGAACTGCTCGGCTTAACATTCTCTTGCCCACTGCTACAATCCTTGCCTTCACCATTTTCGCTCCTCTTCTAACCAACGATGGCATATGCACTACCTTGAATCGCTGGCTGATGGGTGCCTTATGGGCCCTTCTGGCTGCCTCCTGTGTCCTTTTCACGTTCACTGATAGCTTTCGCACATCAACTGGTAGGCTATATTATGGTTTGGCAACATTTAGAGGGATATGGACCTTCAATGGAGGCAGGAAGATACCATGCGTGCCGTCGGATTATAGGCTGAGGTGGGCCGATCTCTTTCACGCATCACTTTCTTTGATCGCGTTTCTTGCTTTTGCTGGGTCACATGGTGATGTTGTGGGGTGTTACTATCCAGCAATGCCCAGGAAAGTGATCAACACTGTTCCTCTTGTAATTGGTTTTGTGATTAGTATTTTGTTTGTTTTGTTTCCTTCCAAAAGAAGAGGGATTGGGTACCCATTCTTGCTGCAGAGGGAAGCATTCTATTCTAGATGCTAACTCTCTTTTCGCACAACACCTGGAACTGCTGTATTTTAACACCCAAAAAACAAGTTTGTCCGCTATGTAAGATCAATCATTAATGGAAGCTGATTTATGATAACATGTTTGTCCGCTATGTAAGATCATTAATGGAAGCTGATTTATGATAACAAAATGGCAAATTTCCGTGGAGTACACTGTTTAAGAACTCTTTTAGCATCCCGAAAAAATGTGAAACCAGAGATCACCCCGCCCCCCCCGGGAAAATGAAATAAACTGCCTTTGTAGGCTGCAAAAAATACATGAATAAACAAAAATTAATTGATTTGGTTCAGGTACAATGGCAACGCAAAGGTATTGATACACCAGGCGGTTTTCTCTTCTCTCTGACAATTGCTTCCTTGATCACAGGCAATTTTTGATGTATCTTTTCCCATACGTGATTCACTGCACCATTAGGAGAAATAGGACCAATACCACCTGGGTGACCGTTTTCATACTGATATATCAGCTGGATCTTAGACATATTTCGACGAAACTCCTCCTCCTGCTTCTTGGGAATGCTTCTGAGATGATCCATCAGCCACCCGGGCTTCAAGGCATCATCAACTGCAATAAAAACAGAGAATTCTGTGTAATCCACCATGCCTTCAAATGGCAGCTCAATGTTGTCGCTTACAATAACAGGTATACACAGGCTTTGGATGGCATCAAAAAGTCGGCAAGAAGTGGGGGTGTCCCCAGCTGGATGCAAACAGAATTCTGATGTTCTCATCCCTCTAATGGACTGCTCTCTTCCAGTGGCATCAGGGAAGCCTTCTTCCATGATAACACCAGGCTCATTAACCAGCAAGTCCCACAAATTTTCTCGAACTATGCCTCCCTGTCAGCCATAATGTTAGCAACAACATAACATGCCTCATCAAGCAAAACTCGAATGCATTTAGGTAATTTGATTGATATGAGGGTGGAAGTTAAACCCAATTAACTTTTCTGAACAGCCTCATATAAATTAACTCAACACATAGGATCACCAATCAAATAGAAACAAACAAGAGAGACCCTATCCCAGGGCCCTGCAACCCCGCCATTCTCATACACAAGCTTAAAAGTCCAAATTAATTTCTGCCAAAGGATTGGACAAACTCCAAAGTTAAAAGAGAGAGAAAACAACAGGGTACAAAGAAGAGCTGTATATTTATCACATAATAATGGGCACACAAACAAGGGAAAAAGTCCAAATTTAATTTCCATTGTCTAGGTAAAAAAAAAAAATCAAAATTGAGAAGAAAAAATGAAGACTGCTGATTAGCTGCTGAGTTATCACATAAAAAGGGTCCCGTGGATAGGAGGTGCCAAATCCAAGCTTGATTTACTTGAATGTCTGACAAATTAAACAGAAAAAACATGGATTGGGATTACTAAAGGTTATTTTGTTCCATTTTTGTTTCAGAGAAATTTTAAAACCGAAACAGGAAACAATGCAATATAAAATTTCTTAGTTTGGCATTTAGTAGGGTGAGTCAAATGATACATGAACCTAAGCATGTCATTGATAACAAAAAAAAATTGGCTCTTCATTCAATACAAATAAAAAGTTGCAGCTGATCAAAATAAATGCCGAAGCAAATGATTGTATGTTAGTTTTGATGATTAAACAACAATAATGCTTATAATAGTTTCTGAATTCAATACCAACCCGATGCCTATGTTTGGCTCCTTTAAAATAAAGAAAAAATTAAAAACACTTTAAAAATTAATTTAAAATATTTTTTTTTAATAAACAACAATAATGCTTATAATAGTTTCTGAATTCAATACCAACCCGATGCCTATGTTTGGCTCCTTTAAAATAAAGAAGGGTATTGCGTTTCTTGTTCTCTGATAACTGCAATCTAGGAAGCAGGTGCGTGTATGGAACAATCACATCTTTCAGCAGTGAAACTTGAGTATGCCTTATCATATCTGATGAACTACCATTCAACGACTTCGAGTCAAGCCTATACCACCCACCAAAGTCTACCACCAAGAGAATGGCTGGGGCTATCTCAGCTCTTACATGCCACATCGCAACTGGGTCTGCCAAAGAATGCTTCAAGGTTTAACATAACCTGACAATCCAGAGACTAAATCATAAGCTGCTAAAGTATGCATCGCACTTCTATTTTCTTGCTTTATTGCTAGGTAAGGCAAAATCATCATCATTGTATTTATCAATCTTAGTGCAATGGCAATAATGTTATACATATAACAGATCAGATCAACTAAAACCAGCCCAAACAATTACTTCAAACCCACTAACAACGCAGCCCACTTTCAAACAACTCATAACGCAAAAATTGCAAACCTCACAAACAAATCCAGGACTAGAAAGTTACATTCTAAAGACATATAACCACTCACTAATCCTATAAAATCATATCCAACAACGCCAATTAATTGATATCAAATAAAAAAATAAAAAAAAGAGCAACGATCAACCACAACAAGAAATGATCAGAACAAATCAAATATTAAAAGCAACAACCACCCATATTGCTAAATCAATAAAACACACAACCTGTAAGAACAAAGACATGATCTTTCCCACCGGATCGCTTCCAAACCTCGGAATTTCTCACAAAATCCACCACTTCCTTCTGCCTTTGATAATCCTCGTTCCCTTCTTTTCTCCTAAAACTTCCCTTTCCTTTTGCAAGCTCCATTTCAGCACTCAACGTAGCAAAAAATGGCACAAAAACAACATCAGCTTCGTTAAAATCAAATACCCTTTTAGCAAAAGAACGAGACCTTAACTTCTCTGGAGTCATCAAGTCACCAGTGATCCAGTACTCAGCACTGTACTGCTTAATCAATGGATTCTCAGGGTAATCAGGGAATTTTTGGTTTTTTATGGGTCGGGGTCGGACCTGGTGATCTGGGTCGGAGCTAATACGGGCATCGGGCATTGAGGAAGACCAGTATTGGTCAAGAAGGCCATAGTTGAGAGATCTAGGGAGGTCAGCTACATAGACTTTGATGAAAGCTTGAGAGATTTGTAGGGTGTTTTGGGGATTTGGGAAAGATGAGATTTTGTTGGAGATGAAGAGGAGACAGAGGGAGAGGAAAGTGAGGAGAGTGAAAGCGAGGAAGAGAGTTGGGTTTGAGCATGGAAGGGTGGTGGTGGGGGTTGTCTTCGGTTGTGGTGGCGGCATTTTTGGTCTAGGAATTTTGCTTTGTGCTTTGAAAGTGGCGGTTTTTGTAGGGGTGGTGGTGGGGGTTTTCCAGATTTGGTTAAGAAGGGTAGAATGGCCATTTGGGCTTCAATTTTTTATTTTTTATTTTTTATTTTTTTTGAGTGGGGAATTGCAGGTAGCCTATAGGTCATAGGATGATGAATTTTGGATTTATTAGAGAATCTGGGGTGTCATTGCTACATGAAAAATGTCTCCCATTTTCTAACTTTAATTTCCTACTTCACTTCCTTTTTTCCCGTGCTTTAGTAGAAAACTAGAAAATATATTCATTTCTTGATATTTGATAAATAAAATCTTAATAATTTTAATCTATAGAAAAATAGAATAATGCAAATTATGATTTTTTTGCTTTTTCAATTTCATTGTTTTTTAAGATGTTCTATACATAAGGGCATAAATAAGAAGATTTTATTTTAAAAAATAAGAGCATGTTTTCCAACTAAATATTTTATTTAAAAATGAAAATTGGCTTTTTATGATGTAAAGATAAAATGAAAGATAAAATAATTGTTTCAATATCATGTTTAGTCATGGTGGACAAAACATAATAAAATATAAAAAAATTATTTTAGACATCATATGTATTGCTGTCAAGTTTATATAATTTAAAAAATAATTACATTTTTTTACTTTATTTTATATTAATTGTTGAAATTGATAATATTATAATATTCTTAGATATAAAATAAGGATTGACTAGATCGGTTGAATCGAGGCCAAACTAGTTCGAGTTTAAGAAACAAATAAAGAAAGGATTAACTCAATCTGATCCGGTAAAAAATCCATGTTAGACCTGGGGTAAAATGCAAATTAAAAACTAGTTGACTTTTTAAAAAAATCTTGGTCAAAATAAGGCTACTTTGATTATTTTTTTAAAAAATGCCTTTTAGGTTAGCTAAGTTGACCCTCTCGACCTGTGACCCGAACCTTACTTTGAGTCAATTTTCAAGTTAGGTTTTAAAACTATTATAGTAATCAATTTTATCCATATGTTAACTCGAGTCAATCCGTGTTGACCTGCCCAACCCGTGACCTGGACTTAATCAACACCAAAGTTAAGTTTTAAAACTATTATAATAACAACTTTTAAACTTACATTTACCTGGATCAACTCGAGTTGATCTTCCTGACCCATTACTCATGTTTTGCCCAAACTAATCTTCAAATTAAGTTTTAAAACTATAATAATAACCACTTTTGTTTTATATGTTGACCCAAGTCAATCAGGATTGATTCTCTTAACATGTGACTTAGAGTCGACCTTCAAGTCAAATTTTAAAGTTATGATAATAACCACATTTTCTCTTATGTTAATTTGAGTTAATGGTAAAACCCACTCATGACTGGATCCTTGCTCGAATCAATCCTAAATTTAGTTTTAAAATATGATAATAATCAAATGAAATTAATATAATATAAATATACTTTCTTGTTAAAGAAACTATAAAGAGACTATAACCTTATAACAACTCTGTTTTTGGTATGAGACATGAAAGAACCACCACTCCCTTGGTTCTAGTTCATACAAGTGTCACATGTTTTGCTATAGGTTGAATAAATTTTTCTTTAACTTAAAAAAAAAAGGATGTTTAAGCATTGTTAGCATGTTTTAAAGAGAAAAAAAATTGTTACTGCTTGAGTTATAAATCCTACTAGGTCCAATAAAATGATTTAATTTAATTATATGATAAAAAAGTAATAACATATAATGAATCTAAAAAGAAAAATTGATAATGGTAATATGTTAAAAAACACTTGCCAAAATAAAAGAAAATCATGAAGCTGAGTTTAAATATAACTTAATGTTGAAAGATAAATCATAACAAAAAAATATAAAAAATTACAAAAAAACCTTTAAGCTAATTTGAGTTAGCATAACAAACTCATGATCTAGATTGTGAGATAAGATCTTTCTGATAGAAAGCAAATAGAAAAAAAATAAAGAAACTCAATCTTTATTAAACTCTATGTTAAGAGATGAAATCAAAAAATAAAATTAGTGTAAAAAATATAAAAAGAAAAGAATGATTGAAATTCGGGTTAACATTTTATACTCATGAACTGATTTATAAGACTAAAATTATCATATAAAAAAATTAGGAAGCCCAATTCTCATCCAATCCAATGTTGAATAATGAAATTGATAAAAGAAAATCAATTGAAAAAAAGATCCAAAGAAAAAAAAATCAATTAAAAGAATAAGGACCCAATTGATATAAAAAATGAAATAAAATGATATACAAGTTTCAAGTCAATCCAAGTTAGTATAGAAAATCAACGACCCAGATCATGAGGCCGAGTTATTCTTATAAAAGCAAACAAAAATAAATAAATAAAGAAGCTTAATCTTAAATAAACTCAGTGTTAAATGATGAAATTGAAAAAAATAATGTAAAAAAAAGGACTAATGTCAATGTAGGTTAACATTCCATATTCATGAGCTGAGTCATAAGACTGAGATCATTATATTAAAAAATATTATAAAACTTAATTCTTAACAAACTCAATATTGAAGGACGAAATTGAAAAAAAAACCAATTTCAAAAAAGATATAAACCCCCACATAAATATAGGATTGAAAGCAATGAAACCTAGATGAATAATGAAAATTTAAAACGAAAAGAAATGAATAAATAGTAAAAATAATAATAAAAGTGATGTGTAATAGAGAGAATGACCTCTATAAATAATTTTCAAGGTTTAGTTAAAGTTAAAATGAGAATTATAAATTTTATCTTAAAATTCATAACAACAATGAAAATAGTAACGAGTTTCGACGGATAGAGGAATTAGAGAAATTTAAAATAAATATGTTTTAAGAATGAGAAAATAATTCTCAGAAATTATGATGGAAATGATGAATACAAATTAATAAAAAACTATACAAAAAAAGTGTTAGCGTAAACCTGACTAAAAATCATTAATGTTATTGTGAAATAGTAAAAATTTTAAAAATAAAATAAATAATAAAAAGAAAAATAAATGTATTTTAAAATAAAAAAATACTCCCTAGGATTTAGTGAAATAATTGATACGATATATATAAGGATTGAATAAGAAAATTTAGATTTAAAAAAAATCATAAACTGATTATTTTTATACTATCATGCAAACTTTCGATCTGAATATCAGATCAAGATGAAACTTTGTTTGAAGTCTCTTGACATATTTCTTTATATAAGGTTAAAATTTCAAGTAAATCATAGTTCATGAAAACCTTGTCATTTAGGTTAGAAACTGGGTATTTTACAAGAAAATCACCTAAAGGGTAATATTATGATTAGAAGAAAAATATAATATCTTTATTACAAAGGAGTGTTTTTTTACTGTGGCATGATTGTGTTTTTTTTTAAATGCTTTTTTTACTTCAAATAATTTTTTTGGATCATTTTGATGTGTTAATGTAAAAATTAATTAAAAAATTAAAAAAAACTATTTTAATGTATTTTAAAGTAAAAAACACTTTAAAAAACAACTATAATTATAATACCAAACACTACCTAAAAATAGCTAGTCAACTGCTCTTAGAAAGGAAAATGAGAGTTTATAAAATTTCCACCAAATTTTGAGAGAATGTTTTTATATATATAATGTAGTAGGTAGATTTAAGCATTTACTTCAAAGGGAAACATGATCTCAATGGGAGGCAAAGATAAAAGAAAAGGAGTGAAATTATTGAGAGAGGAAAAGGAATTTGGAAAAAACTTGTTGGAAGGCTTGTTTAAATCCATTCTAGATGTCTTGGGTAAGTGATCTTACTTTTTATTTCTTGTTTATGAAGAGTAATTTGAGAAATTGATATTGGATAGTAAGCTTGAAAAAGTGTTAGTATGGAAAAGTGTTGAAATGAGTATTTCTTTGCTGAAAATTATGTTTAAATAACTTGAATGTTGTTGTTGATTAACAAGTAAGTGATTTCAACTTTCATTTCTTGGTTTTGATTGTTTAATTTGGATGATTAAGAAATTTAATGTTGAGCTAAATTGGGTTACCATTTAGAAGAGTTTGGATTGTGGGTTTATGATTGAAAGCATAATTAATGATGTTGTTTTGTTTTTAATATTTTTTTATTTCATGATATTTTTTATATTTGATCATCATAAAATTTTAATTAAATAGAAAACATGATTTTTAATTTTTTTTTGTTAAAATTTTAATTAGATATAGCAATCAAATTAAAAATTATAATTTATTTATCAAATTGCTGAACTTTTATTAAGCTCATCACAGCCTAAAAATTTTATTTTCTAATAAAATAATACAATAAACATGATTATACCAAAAATATATTCCCCCCCGTCATGACTCCAGTTTCATGGCAACTAATGGCATTTCTTGGAAAAGGTAGACACCTTACAGATTTGATCGCTATGAATCCTTCCATTATTTTCACCTGAAATTCATCCACGTCTTTCCCCCCCTTTCAATTCATCTAATAGCACATGTACTGAGAAACCTACCTGATTATTTGTGACGTCTTGCCGGCCAAAATGGGACGGGAACTGGAACCCTGAAACTGAAAGTGAAATTGCTATCAATGACTAGTTGACAACCCCTCTCAGGCAGTCTGCTACTTCCCACAAGCCTACAACAGCTAGTTGACAACCCCTCTCAGGCAGTATGCTACTTCCTACAAACCTACAACCGTACAAGGTGTCTACCTTGACATAATCATAATCCATCTAAAGCTGTCCGAGGTTAATTATCAGCCTTTGCATATTACTGCTTTACTGGAGGAGGGCGGTCTCCTATCCATCCCATCTCACGGGTTAAGTTGAAAGGAACCGTGGATGCTCATCGTGCAGCTCACCACAGCCGTAGGTAATTGACCAAAACAAGAGGAGAATGAGGAGGAGGAGAAAGGCTACATGCTAGAAGAATTCTAGGCACACTGGACCCTTGTCTACCCATACTCGAGCTACATCAGCGAAAAAAACCCAACTGAGATAAAAATTAAGACCAGCAATGGTGGACCATAGAAATATGAACAAAATTTCACATTTAATTTTCCTAAGATGGTCACAAACGCAAACTCTTCAAGTGGAAAAGCGAGCTTAACTGCATCCATAA